CTCACCTCGGTTAATACTCGAGTAGACACAGTCAAGAAAACTGAAAATTGCTAGTCGTTTTTCATACTAGTCTTGATAATATATAATATAATATCGTCTCTGGGTCCGTGTGACTTGTCTGACTATTAGAAGTAATTAGCTATAAACAATATTCTGATGTAGGTACCTTTTATCAAAGAATGTTATTTTGTCCTGATTATAGTCATTATTTTCTGTATTAGAAATTAGTAGAAATGTGAAGAGTGAAGGTCTAGAAAAGGCGCTTTATTTATAACGTTAGTTTTAGTAACATATCATCATAGGCGATCACTGGCTATAAAACCAATTCCTAGATCCGCACACTCTTCCTCCACAGTATTGATTGCTTGGCACTCCTCTCCCAGCCTCTGGGCTCTGGCAACAATCGGCAGCATTGTCTCTTCCTCTGTTCGCTTGCTCCTTCCTGCGAATTGCGATCCCTCTTTCCGGTCTCGTGTCTGCGTTGCTGGTTCTTCAAAAGTTTGTATTCTGTTGTAGACTTCTTGACGCCATGGGGGCCTATCATTTTTGCCATCGTCTCCCAGTTTGCTGGTATCGATGCGGCACTCTACTTTATTCTTCCTAAGAACATCCTTGTAGCGTTTTTGTTGACTTCCCTGATTTCTATTCCCCTCTTCCTGTTGACTATAGAGAATCTGCCGTGAAAGACGTGTTTCGGGCATGCGGACGAGGTGACTTGTTAATGAGGGCTTCCATGCTAGTTGTTTTGGTCTCCTCTAAAACACTGATGTTCGTGGAACCTTGGATGTTCGTTCGTCGGTCCTGCCATTGCCATTTAACATTTAATCGGTAGGATCGTTCTAGGTAGGGGAAAGTGGAAAGTGTTCCACAATGAGACATATTGCACAATGAAACATTCGAAATAACTTTTTGAACTGCCCGACTATTCAGTTTTAAAAAAAAAGACAGTCGAACATAACTAATTGTGCATGTGCTCCTACAATTTTTACAAAATTTTTTTCGTTTTTGGGCGTACCACGCGCCGCCTCTGCTCTAAGGACACTATATGCAGAAACTGGGACACTTCAAAGAGCAGGTTTGTCCAAAATCAAGTGCTCTATTCAGTCGCTTAATTCTTAATCCGTTTGAATTTTGCAAGAATAGTCTTTCACATAGTCGGACTGTTTTGTGGTCGGACTCACAAACTAAAAACATATTGGCATTTCGTATAGGTCTTATTCGATTGTTTGGACTGCTGTGTTGGTGAGTCAAATTAAGAAATAACGCAGTTTTCGACGTAAATATTTATTTTTGAAGTAACGCGTTACTTTAAAAGTAACGAACTACTTTTAAAGTAAAGAAGTTACATTCAAAGTAACGAAGTTACAGTAACGCGTTACTTTCCAATAAGTAACGAAAATTAAGTTATCATTATTCGAAAGTAACTGTAAATTTTAAGTAACGAGTTATTTTTAAGCAAAAGTAACTGTAAAGTAACGCGTTACTTTTTTCAAGTAACGATCCCAGCTCTGTATGTGAATTAGATGCCTCAATAGGGGAGATTTGCCTGTAACGTTATTAAAAATGCTCGAATTTGTTCGAAAAATTTTGTTAATGGTAAGTTTTATGACTGTCTTGTTGTTAAAATACAAAAACACTTCATCTCAGCACATCAAAAAAGTTGTTTTTCTACTGACATTTCATAATACGCTATTAAACGATTAAAATCTGTATTATAATGAACTTCATTACGATACAGATTTTCATTATAATACTCATTTTTAATATTATACAATGTTGATAGATGGCAGCACTAGTTAAGATATTAAACATTTTTAACGGTAATTTTGCGTAAAACAATTATTTTGATAACTATAAAAAATACTTCGAATTGTTTAAAAGTTACCTAAAGTTTGGGACAAAGAATAATTATTATGGAAATAATGAGTGATAAGGAAGAATTTTTACTTTTGTCATTATTATACATTGTCAATAGATGGCGCCACCAGTTAAGAAATTTTGATTTTTTTTTTTTTTTTTGAATGATGACAGCACTCTGTTTATGGCTTTTCCATGGTAATTTAGCGAAAAACAATAATTTCATGAAAAAAATACTTCTAATTGTTATTAAAAGTTACCTAATGTTTGGGATAAGGTATTATTATGGAAATGGAAATATTGAGTGATAACGAAGAATTTTCACTAACACCTCCAGAAATTACAGAAAGGGCGGCAAATGCAGGTAATAATATACTACCGGACAAGTCCAAGAAAATTTGCGAAAAATTATATGGACAATTTATGGATTGGAAACACCAAAAACACATCGTCCTTCTCAGAAAATGTTTTGATAGTATATTTTGAAGAATTACAACAAAAAATGAAACCTTCAACTGTATGGATTACTCAATTATAACATCTCTATTCAAAGTTAAGCGTAATGTTGACATATCTAAATATCATCATATCAAGTTTTATCAATGGCAGTAGAAAAAATAGTGTATGCAACTCTCATGTAATGGCCATTAATACACTCGCATGTTATATACGAAACTCGCCTGCGGCTCGTTTCGTATCCTACAACATGCTCGTGTATTAATGGCTATCATTACATGATCATTGCATAATATACTATTATGTTTCTACAAGTATATAGGTAACTTTTAATAGCTTTTAGGTAGTCCAGCAGAATTTGAGGATACAAACAATCCGGATTGGGTCCCCAGTACAAATTTAGGATATACTACGATAATTGATAGAAGCCCAGAAGGAACAAGCCAGTAAGCTAAGCTACATGCCAGATCTGTGCACCGATCAGAACAGTCAAAACGTTTGAGGAGTCATTCTACCACAAATTCATTTTGCTAAAGTTTATTTGTAAGGTTCTTAGTATCAAACTTTTTTATTTTTTAAACAATTTAGATTCTTAAACATTATTTTTGTTAATAAATTGTTTGTTTACTATTGTTGAATTGAAATGTAAAGTGGCATGTCTGTAAATAAAGATTCATTCATTAATTCCATTCATTCACAAAAACTAAAAACAACTTAAAATTTATTGAATAAATCAAAAAACGCAAAAATTCCAAAGCACAAACTCAAAAAACGTAAACAATAATGATCTGTAGGCTTTGTTTGCCCCTCAGCTAATATGGCGGACCTGTCAAAAGTCACGTGACCTGGAATGCCTAATTGATTGATATATTAGGCCTGTTCGCACAGAAATCACCAACCAGTCAGAGCGAATTTCATTGGTTGAAACTAGTTTTCTGACTGTTTCCAACCAATGAAATTCGCTCTGACTGGTTTGTGATTGCTGTGCGAACAGGCCTATTGATTATTGAGGTTAGCTTAAATATGTCAGTGTCAGATCGCGTTCAGTAAATTCACGATTTAATTATCTGTCACCCACAAACGGCGCGCGCAGCACAGGTAAAATGAGAAAGGTCCATTGTTTAGGCATGTCTGGGTTGTGATTCTGTATAAACTAGGGATGTTTAAAACAATCGATACATTTTTGCCAGCTTCTTAAAAAAATATGGAAAAAGTTCCACAATGAGACACCTGGTTTTGTTCCACAATGAGACGATCTGACAACTGCTTTTTCTACCCTGTAACAGTAGATATAAGCATTGTATAAAACGTCTCTTTTATACAATGATATAAGTAAGGTCGAAGAACAAAATATCATGCTGATACTTTCCAAAGATTTAATGACTGGGAAAACTAAGAGGCAACAGTCCCTAATACGTTTTGAAATTAATTCAACCTCATTAAATGTGCGTTCATATTTTGAACGGTTTTATTATATTATTTCTGATTTGTCGCCTGTCGGATTAATATTTCAAGTTACTCTACTGTTTCTTTAAAAGAATAATTATTTTTATTTTATAATTTTTTTTTAAATATTTGTTGTAGTGTTTTTTGATGTAAAATAACTTGTCTCACTGTGGAACATACTAATTGTTCCACAATGAGACAAAAATCGCGTTTTTAAAAAAATTGCCCTATTTATTTTTTGAAGTAGACGCGAATTTTGGTCCCAGCGCTGCTGTCATGATTGTTGAAGAATGCATTGATAATTGCCTGAAGATCTTCATCCACGACATTATTATCCAGTTCCAGTTAGGGACTTATACTGTCTCTCGGCAAAAGCTTTAAGAATTAGTACTTACTATTACTAACTCTTAAGCTTTTGTCGACATTATTTTTTACTACTTATGTATCAATAAAAATATTGTCAACAAGACAGGAACAATAATTTATTTGTTACAAAGAAAATTGGATCATTCACAATTTGACATCCAGTGAATTGAATTAATTACCATCCATCAATAAATAATTTTTATAATTTTCAAGTTAATATACTGTATGTGTGAATATCGCAAAAGTTTAGCAACAAAGACTTTAACAATAGATAGCCGTTTATAACTTGTCCTTGAAAATCAGGTGTTACCTATATACTCTATTTTACAAAGAAAATTGTAATAAAAGAAGGCCGTCTCTTTTGATGTTAATTGGCCTTGGTCCTCGGTGAGCCAGGTGTTATTTTAGAAAGAAAAATTTCAGTTGCAGCAGTCCTTGAAGGTGGTTTTGGGGAAAACGTTGAGCAGAAGATTTTTGCGTTCATCTATAGTTTTTCGAAGTTTCAAGGGCAAGACCGTTACGTCGTCCTTGGCCTTGGAAAAAACCTTGAACAATAATAGTGCTCCAATCTTATTGAGACATAGGTAGGGGGAGCTTTTGGTGAAGATTTTCTTATAAAAGGGGCTGCATACATGTAGTAGTAAGTCTAGTTATACAATAAACGTGATTGTTGATTGTTTAGTACATAAATAAAATCATCAATATTTAATGGCAGTAAAGGCACCATGATGCAAAAATAACACGAACACACTGAATATCTATTTAGCAGAAATACACTTGACAACGTCGGATAGTCGTCTAGCCAATCAAACGACGAGAAAGCAAATGAATGAAGTTTACGAAGAAATGATTCACCGAATCACTTCGGTTCAAAACACGTTCAAAAACGGTCAGCGGCAAGAGCTGTGGGAGAATTTCTGGTTTTAATTTATTTATAAAAATATTTATCACAGCATCATGTCATTTCGTGGTCGGCAGTGTGCTTAGCGCGTCGTTTAATTGAGCACAAAGAGATTGAGGTTAAACAAGAAAAACACAGCGAATTCTCTCAGTATTTTAAATTTCAACAGCTAAAACTACAAGTTTAGACTTGTTGCATTCCTTTATACAAGTGCCTTTAGTAGCCAAGTGAAAAGTTCTAAAAATAAAATGGGCCGGCTAATGGAAACCTATGTCGACGCACAATTGAAATTCGATAGTAAATTAGTGAATATTGTCAAAGAGCACAAACATTTATTTGATCGGACTCATAAGTTATTTGAAGATGGGGGCACGAGAAGGGAAACTTGGGAAGTTATAGCCCAACAATTACAAAAAACAGGTAAGGGATTTTCCTACTAGAGTACTAGAACTATTTAAAGTGAGATAACTAACAATTGAGATTATTTTTATTTATCATCCCATTATGCATATTCTTGTTATCATTTTATTGTTTTTGCCACCAAACTGTCTGGGGAGATAAAACTAGTATTTTTAATACATTTTTGCTAAAGTTTTATCATTCAGGTAAGTACTTATCTCTCGACTTATCTACCTACCATACTAGAAATAATAGGTTTTGCCTTCTATTCAGGATCAAGGGATGAAGTAGGTGAAAGACTTTATTTCTGTTTCTAGAATTTACAAGGCAGCTTTTACATTACCAAAATTAAAAGAGCTGCAATTCCGGGTGCAATTCTTACAAGTTCATTTACACCCTGAACCAGTTTATTGTAACATGTTAAGACTTGTCTCAGGCGTTGCAACATAAATTGTATCAATTTCGTCATTGTCTGGCCTTCGCCTCCTTCAATATTCCGAAAAATCGTCGTCTTAATACAATAGATTAGTAGGCAGACTTGCGATTTCCGCAATGTTGCAAAGTATTCGACAGGTTATTTACCTGATATGAGTCATTTTGGATTTGGGACAATGGCCCGTGCAATGAGGTCAAGGATTTAAATAGTGACTTTTTAAGATGTGGATGTTTTTGAATGAGTTATTTTTTTGGCAGTTTCATCGAGATTTTTTTATTATCTTTGAATAATAATCTGCATTTTTTAGCTATTCGCTGTCAACAAGAATAGTGTTCTCATGTTTACTGCAGTAATAATTATTACAATACAGGGTGTTTGTTTTTTTAAACTTACCACCCGAGTTACCACCCCTTGGAAAATTTTCGAAAAAATCCATGAAACACAGCAACTATCATTTGAAGGAGGATGAATTTTTGTGTAAAATTGGCCATCCCCTTTCAACCCCCTAGCTCCCAGAGCCACCTCCTAGAAAATCTTAAATGGCTAGGCTAGGGAGGTCAAGTGATATATCATTTTGTAGGGTTTTTAATTTCAAACATTTTGGTACTAAATTTTTTGAATTCACTTGGACCTATATAACAAACTATGCCCTTTTAATATTACTTTATATATTTTAACTATTTTTGTAGTATTTTATCCCAGTTACTTTACTGAAATTATAAGAAATTTATTATTTATTATTATTTTTTATGTTTTTTTGATGTGTTTTTGATGATGTTGTTTCTGCTTTCTTCTATGTGCTTGTGATATTAACATTTCAGTCTATTTTATGTCGTTATATTTTGATATCTTGAAGTAATAGATAGATACCTACTCAACTTGAAAAATCAATTGGGTATTAGTTTAATTATTAATTTGAATATTATTAACTGTGATAAAAATTAAAATGTGTGTATAGTTTAAGAATCGCTTTGTCAATGGTTTTTATAAAATTTAGACAATAAAGCATTATTGAATTGAATTGAATTGAATACTTTTTCAATTTATTTCGTGTCTTTAAGAATGGATTTTATGAGCACAAATAAATTTACTACTTCAACAACAACTCACCGTCTAAAATGTTCACATTCAAATGAAAAAAATTAAGCTGTACCCTTCCAGAGTGAAACTTCAATGAGAAAGGGGATCGTGTGTAGGTATGTTCCCATTAGGGATTTTCCTCGAAATTTTCTAGGGAGTGGCTAGGGGTTGAAAGGGGGAAGATGAATTTTACACAAAAACTCAGTTCCCGTCAAATTATAGTTGACGTGTTTCAAAATTTCTAAACTCTGAGATTTCATTTCAAAGAAACTAAAAATTTCGTTGCCGATCCCGAGGTCTTCTTTGACACAGAACTCAGTAATTTATAAAAGTAAAAAAATATTTAAGCTGGATTTATAGTGTCAGTATCAGTAACAGTAGCAGTAACAGTAAAATATTAAAACACGGCCTACCGTAAAGCCATTTATAGTTCACTTAACAAACTTATCAGTAAAACTTAAGAAATGGATAATTTCATATCTGTTCTTAAGTTTTAAGTTACTGTTACTGTTACTGCTACTGACACTATAAATCCAGCTTTAATCATTTACCTGTTCACCTAAGAGAAATTAAAGAACTAAGAAGGTTTAAAACCGCTTTGAAAAGTTTTTTGTGTAAAAAAGCATATTATAGTTTGCAAGAATTTCTTGATGATAATAGTTTAGGATAACATAGTTTGTATTTTTTGTATAAAAATTTTACTATAAATAAATATTAGGAGATGCTGTTGACCAAAAATTTTATTTTGTGTTTTGTTTTTTTTAGCTACTGTATTGGATATTTTTAACTTTATGTATTTATTTTGACTGTTGTAATTACGTTATTTAGTCACTCGATGTCTTATTTTACAATGTTGAACAAGTTCGAATCATAATTTATAATCAATTTTTGTGAGGATTTTTTCAGTATTGAAAAAAAAAACTAGAAAAAAATGCTTCACCCGAGTCTTCACCGTTGTTTGCGTGGAAGTCTGAGCTATTTTCTTTGTCAATACCCTCGAAATCTTCAGTACCTTTCTCATTCTTCTGGTCAAGGTCTCGGGCCAGGTCTCAGTCAAGGTTCAAGCGGTCTTCTCTTTTGACTAACATACCAAAGCTTCAACCGAGGCTTGAACCAGCTACATAAGCTTCTTCTAACGCTTTATCAATAATCTCTGTGATATTCTTTTCTATCAATAATTTATTTTTTGATACTTTGTTTCTTGTGCTCTCTTGGAAAAATAAAAACGTCTTTGAGGTCGTGCAACACTTGATGAAAACCTTTGTTTACAAAGATATAGTTTATTCATGGATGTGGCAGATGAGGTTGCTTTATTTTCTATCTACTAAAAAGGGTTAAGTATTCGGAATTATTTAATACGGATTAAAATTCCACAAAAATGTCAGAAAATTCCACAAAAATACTAAAAATTCCACAAAAAATGCCAAAAAATACAATTTGCATGTACAAAAAATTCCACCAAGGATATGCCCCTAGAAAAAAAAAAAGAATTCAATGCAGCTTCAAGCAGAAAGATGTTTCTCAATTTTAGTATAAGAATGTCATATTCTTGCATGCAAAATCGTTGAAGAGTGAAGCTCATTCTAGTCATTCTTCAACGATTTCTAGTGACATTTAGTTTTCAAAGTACTTGCCACAGAACACTTACCTATTTCAAAATTGTCAAACCTTCTAAAAATAATGAAATTCACCTATCAGTTGGTTGGTAAATAAGTGTCACCAAGGGCTGGGACTATCCCTATCGCATGGCTATGGCACTTTCTGTCTTCTTCTCTCTTCTCGAAATCAATAGAGAGGGAACGTTAATAGAGATAGAGAAAATATCTCTATTCGATACAGGGTCCCAGGCCAGCTGACATATAACTACAAAAAATTATAAATAAAATCCGAGGGGTAAACAGCTGACCAAAATGTGTACACCTGAAGTACATTATTTTTGGATACCTAAATTCACAAAATCCACAAAAATCAACAGAAATCCGCAGTAATCTTCTGTGAAAATCCAAAGAAATCTGTGGAAATCTATGGACTTCCATGGATATCCACAGTTAACAATTAAAAACCCTCCGAATTTCGAAACTGGTAACTGGTAAAACAAATTGTGTAGGTTGGGCTCAAAAAAACCAGAATATTGTTTTTGAGCTGTAACTTTTTTTGTTGTTGAGCAATTTCCTTTTGTTTTGGCTTGTTTGAAAGAGAATTGAACAGGCTAACGAATCAAAGTGAAACTTTTGACATTTGAGTGAAATTCAAAATGGCAGACTTCTTCATAAATTACCTAACTTTGGATAGCGCTGGAACTTTTTTGTGACCTCCTGTATAACTTTTTCTGATAAATTCTCAAAGTTAATCATTTTGCGGACATTTCAAGGCCTTGACAGGAAAAATCGTTTGTGTGAAATATTGAAATTTTTGTAATATCGAATATCACCTTTTCATATCCAAAACTAGATATTTTTTGAAGAAGTCCGCCATTTCGAATTTTTCTCAAATTTCGAAAGTATCACTTTGATTCGTTAGCCTGTTCAATTCTCTTCCAAGCCATCCAAAACAAAAAGAAATTGGTCAACAACAAAAAAAGTTACAGCTCAAAAACAAAATTCCGTTTTTTTTGAGCCCACCCTATATATTATAGGTCTGTTTCCACAGAAATCACAAATCAGTCGAACCGTTTTTGATTGGCCAACAACCAGTTTCCTGACTATTTCCAACCAATGAAATTATTTGGTCTGACTGGTTTGTAATTTCTGTGAAAACAGACCTATTGTCTCAGGCACAAATGTTAGGATTCTAAAGAATATATTTTACCTATGATTTTCTATCCTATTTTGAGATTATGAAGATATTTTTCAGCTTCTCAAATAGTTATCGCGAGAATTGATTTTTGAAATGTAGATTGCATTAGTTTGTATCTTTCATTAGTGCCTTTTAACTATAGGTCACTCAGTTGCAACAGTATTTCAGACGCAGACTTTTTCTCATTAACGTCCATAGTTCCATAGAAATTTATTCTGCCGACACTTTAGAAATATCATCTGGTTAGGCCACAACAATTCTTTTTCACTTATTTTTTTTTCTCAAAAATTTCCTAATTATTATCGACAATTTTTGTGTTTAAGCCTAAATACCAATGTTGCTCATAATATATGGCATACAATTTCCTAGATTCAGGCTGAACAGCATTATTGAAGGTTTCAACGTCGAGTTTAACAGTCGAAGATGTCATATTGGTAGCAGCAAGATTCAAATGAAAGACATTCCAATCGGTTATTATTTGTCTCACTGGTTTCATCAGAAAAAGATTCCTGTGCTGTCATCGTATTTGACACTCATTTGGTCATTGTCTGAAGTTTCGTTTCGGAGTTGGAAGTTGATTTTTTGTTTGTCTTCCTGCTACGAATAGATGAGCACATTCGCTTCTTTGTAAACTTTGTTCTTTTGGGTAAAATATTCTTTTTGGGCTTAATAGAACCATGTGCTTTTTCGTAGCGTTTTTGAGCAAATTCTTCACAGCCTATCCATACTCACTCTTTGCGTTGCCTCTTCTAATAGCCAACATAATTAAAACTTTTCAGTGACGGCCGACTTCCCCTTGGATATTGTTACTCGTACTAGCGGACCTTTTTCAAAAACGGTATCTCTTTCAGGTTCTACAGTATTAGGATCCCATTGTTGAAACCGCTTTAAGATTAAGAATTCTTGTGCGATATGTACAATATCCTCTGTACATAGGAGATGTCGAAAACATTATTCCTGTCGTATCCTGCCTGATATAATTTAAGTGTATATGTACCTTTTGCTGCCATTAGTCTGTGTTTGAAGCGCTGGTGGAAGAGAAGCATGTTGGTGGACGTGAAGCATGTTGGCGCATTGCTTTTGATAGATGAATATTGCCGTCACTGGAGAAACCTAGTGGGTTTATAGTCCCCCTCTGCAAGTTTTATTTCATCATATGTTCCCATCGTTTTGAACGTCCTTGGAATCAAACCTATTATCTGTTCTAAAAACAAGGAGACAATAAGGGGCAGATTTTGATAGCAGAAATATACTGAAGTCCACGAATATCCATGGACGTCCACAGGAATCCAGTGAGATCCACGGATGTCTATGGAAATTTATAAACATCCACAAAAATTATAGAAATCCATAGAAACCTACAAGGATGTACACCAGAAATCCACAGCTGTTGACCCCTCAATAAAATCCAAAATTGAGAAAATAATACAAAATTCACATTGGAGAAGGCTATTCCCACGCTCATTCGTTCGTCCCGTCCACTCATTTCTTCGTTGCTCGTGGCCAAATTTTGAATTTGTGCAGGAATATGGGGCCTTCTGCAACTTGTATTTTAATATACCATTTCCAAAAATCTAATTTTCCTATAAGAATTTCTTGTTTTTCTCATTTTTCTTCTCTTCATTTTCATTTTTTGAGTCTCAATCTTTGTTTATTCCAGTCTTGGAAATGTTTTCCTTCCTCTAAATAAAAAATATAAGGAAAATCCCAGAGCAGAGCCATGAATTTGGAATTAAAACATATATAAAGAAAATTCAAGGGCATGAAACAAACATAAATTTTGACCAAAAAATCAAATACTACAACAATCAATTTTGTATGCATTGAAGCGCATGTATCACATATGAAATTTTGCAGGTGCATGATGATGCGGGTTTTTTTTCCTATTTCTGAATACATCATAAAATAGGTATGTCATTATAATACGCACGTAGAAAAACAATTTCACAGTATAATTCTCAACCATGCCAAAATTCGATAAAGGATGAACTCTGGAGAAACTTTCCTACACGATCTAGTATAAAAAATTCTCAATATTCAACTTAAAAAATTAGATAGGTAGGTACAAATTTGACTTACAATGTGTAATAAGTAAAATAACAAGGAAAAATAAGGCCAATTCACAAACAGAATTTTCAATTTCTTACTAGAGACCCAAAATTGCATCTCTTATGGCAAGTGGAATATTGTGGCCGTTTCTAGTAGAAATTGACTTCAGCGTACAATATTTTGTAAAGTATAATAGTATTAATCGATTATTGAAATAAATGTCACTGCCTCAGTAGTTTTCAGAATTGTGCTAAATTATTTTTTGTTAGCGAGTAGGTAAGACATCATGGTATGTATTAGGTTGTTTTTTCTTTACATTGATAACTTTTGTTTTATTCACCTGAGAGCTGATCAGTTTTAAACTCAATCGCATCTCCCTTATTTTTCATTGAATACTTAGATTCTAAAAAACAGAACCTATATTTAGATATCTATAAATATAAGGCCTCAATATGTGAAAATTCAACTCTAAAGTTGTCATTTTGTTCTCCCATATGGCATGGATGTGTTCTAAATGAATACCGACTATCCAAAATCAGTTATAATTATCTAAAAAATAGTGCCCCCAACATAATAATTTATTAAATTAAATAAAATTTTCTTTTATTTCAGATTCCTATTGCGAAAAACGTTGGGTTTACATCATAAACAGACTATATGATGAAATATTTTGGATGTTGAAGTATGAATCACCATCACCTTGGCTACTTTATCCCCAATTGGATTTTCTCTGCGAATACATAGACTGGGAAGATGTTAATGGCCTTTGCAATGTAAGTTTTGCTTACAACAGTAATCAGAGTTAGTTGACTGATAAACGTACTGTGTTATTTTAGGAGCTAATGGAATTTGATTTGGCCACAGCCCTGGAAGGTGTATGATATCAATATTGAACCCAGGGGTTACCACAAAATAAAATGGTTTTTCAAAGAAAATTATGAAGCAATAATTGTTAGGGTTTTATTATTTAAAACCTGTATTACGTGCCTTAATGCATACTTTTTTATGCATCATTCCATTATCAAAACAAGGTGCAATCGATTTTGAATAGGGATTAGATAAGATTTCAGTGATGTGATGATTAAAAAAACAATAATCAAAATACCTATTGCGAGAAAAATTTTAGGTACATTTTGACTTTATTTTTATTTATCTGTTTGTTAATATTTTAGTCCAATTTTATATTTTATGGGAATTTAATTGATATCTTTGTTGCATGCTATGATGTTTGTAGTTTTTGTTTATTGTTTAAGGAATTTATTTGTTTATGCATGAATTAAAATTAAGGAAAAAGAAAAACGCCATAAAAATTATCTAGTAGGTTGGTTTGTAACCCATATTTTATTGTATCGTGTCTTTTGATAAAAAAATTTATTCCAAAATTTGTTAATTAAAACTAATTATTTGTTTTTTAAAATTATTACTGTTTTGTACAAATTTACAATACTTTTTGGACTAAACTATATTTTTTTTATACTTACAAAATAAATTATTTATTGATTGAATTGACTAACACATTTTGTTTTATTGTATTAGTCTATGGCCAGATTCCACTAATAAAGATTCTAGTTTAAAGGTGATATTATCGGTAACATTTAACTGGTGTGTCCAATAGGCAGCTAGAAACATTGCCTCGTTTTTTGTTTTGGAGTGTGCGATATTTTCCAGAATGGTCCGCTTTGCCTGAAAACCACAAAATACGTTTATTATAATAAAAGTTGTAATTTCATTTTATCACATGATTTTAATAAATAAATTATTTCTGAGGTTTTTATTATGGAATATGTATTTGTTGTTTGGTGCAATATTTTATATTCGTTGTTCAAAATAGGAATAGACGGATAGTGAAATAAAGATGCATCTAAATGAGAGTGACTTGAACTCTTAAGGTAAGTATGCATTTGTTAGCATTGGACAAATGGAATGGATGAAAATGATTTTTTGAATTATTTTAAGCACACACAGACGTATCAGACACATCGTAGAAACGCAATTCTGCTCAGGATTAATTCAATAGGATAAAATCCATGTATGCCATGCGTCATTCCCAAATTCGCTTAAATGCCCTGTAAGTAAAGTCTATCGATTTTAATCTGATACTCGGAAGGAATGTGAACTGGTGGCACCCTACATTAAAACGCCAATGGTCACCTGATGTCACACCTGTTTTTGGCATATACTTCACCCCCTCGCTCCTCATGCCGCAAGTATCGGATAAAAATCGACGCACAATATCAACAGAGTCTGCTTGTAGGAGTCATTTTTTTCCATAACATTTTTGTGCACCTGTTGAATACAGCTGCAATTTACAATGGATGACGAATTAACATCAAATAAAGTATGAAGTTCTCCATAGTTTTCTCTAAATATTTATATCATGGATGCAAATCTGTTTTTTTTTTTTTCAGCAAACACACAATATGCAATTGTGAATATTTCTTCATCAGAACTGTTTATCTAGATCTCAAAAACGAACGCGAAAGAGAAAATGTTTGTACTATCCTTCTTTTTTTATTGCAGTAAATGAGAATACAGTAACCAAATCCAAATTATTAAAGTGTGATGATGACAAAAATACAACGATTCGTCCGATACGTACAAATGTCACCTTTACAGTTGCATTGTCTTTAGAGATCGTACCTGAATTTCTTTTCCATATGCTTCACATATTTCTCTAATTAATTTTGAAATGCTTGAAGCGCTCAATGAAAAGAATACCGGATCAGAAACATTTGGCAACTTAGAAAAAGCCTCTGACTGACTAATTAACAGTATAAAAATTTCATTATTAAGTTTAAGGCCTGAAAATACTCCATATAGCTCGGTTGTGTACTCTTCTAGTTGACTCGAATACTTCCTAGGATCGCCTGCTTTAATTGCAGCGATTTGTTTGACCAAAGCACATCCTTGAATGTGCAACTTATTCCACCGTTGTACGTTGTTATATAAATCGGCTATTATATCTCGAATAACTCTTGGAGGTCCTGTTAAGTTCCTTTGGGGCGATTGAGCTGCGGGGCTTTTGTGTACTGAAATACGTGTATGTAAGGGTTGGTGAGGATTACATTTAGTTAGGAAATTACATGTTATTGGTGAAAATCCCGGGCATGTGTCTTGGGATGGCCTTTTTGGCGTTTTTTGGCTCATTTTCTTGAAAATGAAAAACTAAAAACAGTAAAAACTAAACAAAAACAAACAAAAGCGCTTTTTGTGAGGTTATGGTTGTGGTAGTCCAAAAAAGGGTTCAATTAGGTCTCTTCAGACCAAGGAGAATAAACTTACTAAGGAGTGCTTATCGGCCCCTTTTTGGGTAATTGCCGCCATATTGGTTTTCAACTGTTTCCAACCACTGCTGACGTCATAACAAAGTCGCCAGCTGTTTGCGCCAGCGGTTTTATAAATTTATAATTTGTCATGAAAAATATTTTATTTTGATTTTGATTAACCATTATAGCGGGTAAAGGTACCCTATGCTATGATGGAACCAGTAGCGCGATATCTGGCTAGCTTTCGTCATTCCGCCTATTTACACGTTTTCAGCATGTATGATTTAATGGAGCGCTAGGAGAATTACGCGGCGTTTTGTTTACATTTCTTTATGTAAGTATAATAACTATAAGATAATTTATTCTATACTATTTAATTGTTTTTAGGGTTTTCTCATATTATTATAACATATTCCTATTCGAGCATAAATTGTTTGTTTATGTATTATATTCTTGTATATTACTGTCCCATATATGGCATATGGGCCTGGGCAGAAGCTAACATTTTTAGCTGTACTTACATTTTGTTTGTGGAATTAGCCATCAGGAAGCTTTGAATACTGCATACTGCTTATGATAATGAAAATGTTGATGGCATAATATATCGAGCCCACACAGAAAGCAAAGAGCTCACTGACTAAGATTCAGCAGATGAGGAACGTGGTTTTGACTTATCTACTAGGCAACTTTTGTGCTAGTGCAGAAATTGTTTATTCGAATGGGAAATATATCACAGGTAGAGTAGAATTAACAATTTTTTGGGAAATCATACAATTTTAACTTTATTTTTATTTTCAGACATACCCGAGGAAATATAAAGTACCGCCTTGCGCTACAGGAGAATATGCTTCGGGCTGCAGCAAGTGATTTTTGAGTCAATAATGATATAAGGTATTATGGACTGCATTATTATTGAAACACTTTTCCTGAACGTAAAAAAAAACGATGTGGTGGTCAAAACTGTAGCAGCCGAGGAAGAACAATGTGCTGCAAATGCAATATCGACTTATTTATTCACTGTTCTCGAAAGTTTCACACTGGGTAATAATTTTCACCCATAATGCTGCTCGTGATGATGCAGGCCAAAATTCATTATAATCTATTTCATTTATCTGACCCGAAATCATTATATCTGTACAGTATACAACAGCCTAACCGGATCTTTTTCTTATATTTTTGTAAACTTTCTACAATAGGACATTGCCAAAAGGGTCTCAAGGCTGGTATGGATCTCCCTTATAATGTCTGTATTTGAATAACTTGTATGTGTAATAAATAAATAAACATTTTATAAATAACTCTTTATTTTTATTTATAAATAGGTGAAAATTAAATTAACAAAGTCAAATAACTTGACCACAAATCTGATTTTTACTCAAACTACCTATAATATAATACTGGTAATTAGGATTTAATAAACACTTTACACGTTCTGCTGTTTGCTCGGCCATTTGTATGCCTATCTGAGAAGAGTTTAATAATTGATTAAAAGTATAACTACATTCATTACTTGTATCAGTCTCACTAGAATCTTGATTTCTTTTTCTTTCGGCAAGTTTTTCAGCACCCATGGAATCTATTTTTTGGCTCGGTTTATGGATCACTATAGAAGAGGGCAAATTCTGGGATGGTACAACTTCAATATCCGACCTCTACCTGTACCTCTAAGGGTGGGTATTATAAAACTCGTCAATATTTTCAAACAAAACATTTTAAAAATAGATAGTACTTGATAAATGCCTAGAAGCAGGCCTAAAATAAAGCTAGGGCACAAAACTATCCATTATGCTTGTTTACCTTAACACAAAATTCTTGCTTAATTGAGATGCAGAGAATACACTTTCATGAATTTGGTGACTGGTTTGCCAATACGAAGTTTTAAAATCCAGAAGGCTTTTCTTCTCGACACTTCTTTTTCCATTTTCGTTTCCAAATAAACCCATGGGCCTGTTTCAAGGGGAAATATGTAGAAACTCAATCCTTTGTCAGCTTTTTTTTTTAGCCCAAGACTTGCATTGAGGAACACAACAGTAATGATTAAAAGTCATGATTATATGTATCTGATATAATTTTATAATTTTAGACTTTAATTATACTAGAAACTAGTTCCATAATTTCCAGCCAGCAGCCAGATCATAACATAACCTGTGGTGCAAACAGCCTACGTCAAGACGAAAAACGCCATGATGTTTACGTCACAACTGATTTTTTGGATAGGCGGGGTAGGGGGGGATTTGTTACACACAGGCCTTATGAGGATAAGCCATCCTTGGTAGTGTGTATCATCCTTGTCTTCAGACAGCATCACAAACCAGTAAGAATTCTTCATTGGTTGAAATTTGTGATTGCTGTGCGAACAGACCTTTTATTAGGGGTCGTTCGAAAATGTAGCGCGTGTGACCCATTAGGCAATTTAATCCATTTGTCAAAAAGGAAAATTCAATATGGCGTGGCGTGGCGGCCAAGCAAGCTTGTTTTGAATATGTTTTTATGTGTATTTTAAATTATTTTGCTTAGAGTCTTGCTTGTAACTTTGATTTTGATTATTTAATACGATATTTGTTGACTAGGTAAAGTTTGTTTCGCCAGGGTTTGTACTTGCCACCAGCATGTATCTTCCTTGTTTAACAAATAAAAATTGACTGAAACAAATCAATGACGTCAAAAACGTTCGTCGGTTCTTAAACCAGAAGTCATTCATTTTAATTTGTCAAAAAAATTGAATGTGTCATATTAATTAATCTACGACAACCCTTTTTTTTCAAGTTTCAAGGTCAAGTATGAACCCTGGTGAAACGGACCTTACCTAAACTATTAAATCGGGCAGAAACTAGATATTTTTTTGTGTTTTTTGGCCCATGTGTGGCCGCCACGCCATCTTGAGTGTCACGTGGTTTGAATTGCCTAATATACTGCCCACAAACCGATCCCAGTTACAGTGACTCTATAACCCACAGCGGCGACAATTGCTGTGTCATTTTTGATTGGTTCTAAAATCCCATATATTTACATTGAAAACACCGCCATCTTGTTCCCAACCCCTTATTACTTTTAAATATGAATATATGGGATTTAGGTGAACATCCATCATAAATCATGGAAAACAACGGACATAATAATGGTCATCAAATACGTCGATTTCAATTTTTTATGATAGATGTCCATTTAAATCCTATATATTAATATTTAAAAGTAACAAGAGGTTGGGAACAAGATGGCGGCGGGACCTCTATTGTCGCCACTGTATGTAAAGGTTTATTTAGCCACTGTAATCCCAGTGTACCACCCAAGGGCGCGTTCACCCGAGCGCGTTCTCGCTCTGGCCGTTCAGAGTCGTTTTCCAGGGACGCACTTTAAGCTTTCTGAGCTGCTCTAGAGCGCCCTGGGCTGTTTATAGGCGTTCCAGTGCTTCAGTGTTTCGCGCAACTGAACTGTTCGTTTTTTCTCTTCCCTGCCCTCTCAAGCACTTGCAATTTTATGGGTGCATCAAAAACAAGACGCTTAAAGGAGGGTACGTTCCAGTGAAATAACAGTTGTTTGGAGCGGAGCATCAGAGTGAGAAGCTACGGGTGTAGGGCACCTTTAAGTCGTCACTGGAGAGCAGGGATGTGCGTCTACACGTAGACTTTCATTGTCTACTTTACGTGTTGACAATTGTAGACAATGTAGACAACGTGTCAACAAGTAAAATAATATAAATGACGTCTAATTCTAACCTCACACTTTCCTTTCCGAAAATTATTTTTATTTTATTATCGGTTTTTCTCATATTTATAATCAGTGAATGCTGATATCAAAGCGATAGGTATTAACTAATTATTATGTAGTAGTAATTTTGGATCTTTTTTTTACATTTTCTAAAATAAGTTTATTGTTTACGCCACATGTAGACAATGTGTAGACAAATGCCCACCTAAACAATTCGAATTGTCTACGCGTAGACAATCAATTGTTTACGTTGACATTGTCTACAGGCACATCACTGCTGGAGAGCGGCTGTCAGCCGTTCAGATTATTTGTCAGTAGAGTTTTTACCAGAACATAGGGTCCTTATTCTTGCAACAGAGGAGCAGGGTTCCCAGGACAACAAGTGTTCTGTCTTTGTTGTTCATTGAGAAAAACGGAACACTCGTTCACCTGGGGAACGCTGCTCCCCTGTTTCAAGAATAAGGACCTTGGCATCATCATCTACTCTAAAAAGGGGGCCTCATTTTCTTTGGTTTGTGTAGTTTTGCACAAACGTAAAATTTGTGCGTGAAATCCGAAATTCGTATACAGAGTGGTTTCGAAACGGTTCTTGGGGCGGTTTCTTGATTGGTTGAAAAAGACCTAAAGTCTGTTTTTTTTTTAAAGATAAATCCCCAAGTCAAAAATTTAGTAACTATGTTGGCCACACAAGCCCTTTCTACATAAAAAAAATTGAAAGCATTGACAATTTTACATTGTATTGCCAACATAATATAATTTTGACAATAAGCGAAGTCATAAAACGAACAGACATCCCAATAAAGAGTGGAGGAGAGAAGAGAATGCGTCTTGACGGTGGCTAGGTGACACTCGGATTGCACCCTCTATCGGGTAACGCTCTGCACCGCACATCGCCAAGACTGTTCAATATACCGGGTGACAACGAAATCGTTATACAAGGCGTCATTCAGTTGTCTTTAAAGTTAAAAATTTGAAAATCGGGTGGAACGGGTAACTCATTGAGTTGCACAGTTTGCATAAAAAAACAATTGAATATCACTTCCGGTTACTCCGGAAATGGACCCAAGTCAAGAATTTTTTATGGAACCCTGTATATTTTCTTACAGAGTTGGATAGAGCTTAAAATTCTCTTTCCAATGACATGTCACAACTTGCATTTGTTTCGAAGATGGCGGCGTAAGAAGGTATTTCTCTTAAATTCAATATGGCGGCATTCTGACGTAACCAATAATGTTTCTGTCAAACAAACAGTTTCAACAATCCATAATTTTTAGATTTGAAATGGTTTTGG